AAAATCTTTAAAAAAAAAAAAAAAAAAAGGGTAAGATGCCGGGAGCAAAGTGGAGAAAGATACTAATCAATATTCTCTTAAAGTCTTAACTTTTGAGAACCTTAACCATACCACTCCATCTAAAGTTTCTAAACAACCAGTGTGCCCACACCATGGAGAACAAGCAATCTCAAAAGTGAAATTTCTGAAAAATTTTTATGCTATGAAAAATACTTGAGGTGGGGCGCCTGGGTGGCTCAGTCGTTGGGCCTCTGCCTTCGGCTCAGGTCGTGATCCCGGGGTCCTGGGATCGAGCCCCGCATCAGGCTCCCTGCTCTGCAGGAAGCCTGCTTCTCCCTCTCCCACTCCCCCTGCTTGTGGTGTTCCCTCTCTCGCCGTGTCTCTGTCAAATAAATAAAATCTTTAAAAAAAAGAAAGAAAAATACCTGAGGTACAAGTAGGGAAGATAAGTATACATGACTATATGTAAAATATGGTTTTAAATATGTAAATCAATCAGCACAGAAAGACACAAATGTTAAAAAATGTATCTAGGTGCTGAAATCATTGGTGATTTTCACGTGCTATCTCTGCATGAATTTTCAAGGATTCTCGCAATGAGGACCTATTTCAGTTTCCAGGGGAAGAAACCTGTGCTCACACCCAGTCCAGCCACTCACTAACAACCAAACCTTGGACCAGTCACTTCATCTACAGTGTCCTCACTCCTAAAACGGGTAAAGGTTTGACCCACTTCACTGGGCTGTTCAGAAAATTAAACGTGATTACACACTAAGACCGCCTCTTGGAAAGACTAGTACATAGCTAGTTGTATGATTATCACTTGCCATGTCACAGAAGAAAATGAAAACCCATTTCAAATATTGGTTCTAGGAGAGTGAATGGTATATAAAGCTTACTAATAGTACTGTGAGTGCAGTCAGAGCTTTACTGAAATAATTCTATTGCTAGAACAGCCAAGTGCACAGCAAGCTAACAGGGCATGATTCCCAGACAACCCAGCAGGTGACGCACTGAGTGTGCGCACTGTGAGCAGCAGAGGCCCCTGGGAGACTGAAGGTCACACGCTGACAGCAATAGGACACTTCTGCATCTTGCTGAAAGAAAAAATGACTTCTGTCCTATGTTTAAACATTTGTATGGAGGGCAAATCCAAATACAGGAAAACTGCTTTTAACTAGAACTCAACTGGACTTCATGCTACTATTTTTATCAAAAAGCAGCTAGCAAATCATAAGGGAATAAGTATTCCCCAAGAACAGAATTTTTTAAAAGCAGCATTAAGGAAATGCCCTGGAATCACTACAAAATCCACATGGCCTCTGCAGTTAGGTGAGGATATTTGCCCCAGCCCACAACAACTGCAAACAGAATCCACGCTCACAATGGTGAGCCTGGGGCATTACTGTGTTCTGAGAATAAAAAGAGATTTACTGTTCCACTTATTAACAGAGGGAAAAAAACCTAACACGCTTCAAAGATTTTTCACAAGTGGTTTCTAGAAACTCTATAAATGAAAACATTCAGCAAAACCTCTTTCCCTACGCATCCTGAGGTTTCCTGCACAGCAGTAACAACTGTCCTCATTCCGAAAGCCTTATGTAACACCTGATGCAGGGGGGAAATGCCTTATGTAATACACACGCATTGTTTTACTGAGCACTTTAAATCCTATATTTATTCCAAAACTGTATATTAAGTACCTAAGGAATATGGAGACAGGCCTTGGCTCTTTTAGACAAATAACCCAGCAGGCCTGGGATGGGGTCAACCATTTGTATTTCTGACAGGTCACACATGGTGCGGATACTTCTGGTCCCTGCCGGCAATTTGAGAACCAGGATGACAGAATAATTCCAGGAAGTGCTGATGCCTCCAGAGAGGCTTTCTGGAGTTGGTGCTCTGAGTTCTGCACAAAGCAAGTCTGGACTCTGGAGAGGGCAACTCAGAGAGATGTGGGGCAGGTGGCCCATCACCCCTGACCACAAGGCACGCGACCCCACTGAGTAATTGGTGACCAGGGCAAGGATGCAGGTGTTCACCGTGTTGGATGGTAGATGAATGAATGAGCCTATGACCACTCAGACTGTGCCACATCCTCTCCTCTCAGCGCTATCTGCAAAATGATTTCTAAAATTCAAACTGAATTCTACCTTAAAAATATGATGATGGGCGCCTGGGTGGCTCAGTTGGTTAAGCGACTGCCTTCGGCTCAGGTCATGATCCTGGAGTCCGTGGATCGAGTCCCGCATCAGGCTCCCTGCTTGGCAGGGAGTCTGCTTCTGCCTCTGACCCTCCCCTCTCTCATGTGCTCTCTCTCTCATTCTCTCTCTCAAATAAATAAATAAAATCTTTAAAAAAAAAAAAAATATGATGATGACTTGGGTATTACCAAGTTCCAGCTGGAAATCACCATTTTTAATGCATCCTAACAACCGTGTCTGCTTAGAAGCGGTAGTATAGTCCTTACCATCTACAGAACCAAACTCCCTTTCGTGTGCACGAGTGAGAATCTCTTTGTACAGTGTTTCTGCTTGCTTGAATTTTCCTTGCTTCAGATAGCAGGATGCCTTAAAATAAAATAAAGTACTCAGTAACTTCATATGTAAATGAAACACACATTCTTATCTACAGGTTAAATGACAAAACAAAGCTCAGAGTTCAAAAAAGGAAGCAGTTCTGGCTCTACCCAGACTGCACCTCTGTCCACGTACCAGGTTATTTTTCGTTTTGGCCACATTGGGGTCATCGGGCCCCAGTTTTGTTTGGTAGATCTCGAGGGCTCTTTGATAATAATATTCTACTTCCTCGTACTTGCCCTGATTCTGGCACAGTAAGGCCAAGTTATTTAACTGCTTGGCAACGTCGGGGTGATCCTTTCCCAAAACCTGGGAACAAAAAAGTGTGTATCAGAAACGCCGATCTGTTTCAGTGCCATCCAGTCCGTTCTCCACCCACTATGAGAAGGGTCCTTCTCAACACAAACATGGCTGTGCCCAACGTCCAGGCTCACAGTCCCGTGCTCTGCACTAAGAAAAACAGCCAGAACTCATACTCTTGGCAGGTGGGAGGAGACTGTACTGATCTCCCTACACACTCTCAACTTTTCATCCTTACAGTAACCCCACACGGGGACTGGCACAGGGGGCATTAGTATGCACAGCCTGAAACCAGGAAATGGTTGTATAAAGGTTATGTCAGTATGACCCCCAAGTTCTGGAAGAGCCCTTTCTGACTTGAGCTATCACACAAGACTCTTCCCTATGCGTGCAAGCATTCAAAGGGAATCTTCAGCTCTTGCATTCAGCCTACATATACCTTCCCACTAAGACCCAGAGGTCCTCTGCACTCAAAATCTGACCATTTTAATTCATAAATATCATGCAGATGGTGGCATGAGAAAAGTTTTCCTGCATAATTTGATGATGAGCCCCTTTTATTTCCCCTTTCCCAATTCCTTGCCATATGGCCAAAAATTAAATGTCTCGCAGTATTACTGGTAAATAATCACAGAAAATACCAATTAAAAATACCACCCCTGGTCATTCATGGCCTGGACTTAACACCGGAGCCTCCCGCCTGCTGAGATTAACAAGCCACATTTTCCCCAACACCTAATTAGCAGAGGCTGCAGCGGCTGGCATGAATACCCATGACACCGGGGCGCCTGGGTGGCTCAGTCATTAAGCGTCTGCCTTCGGCTCAGGTCATGATCCCAGGGTCCTGGGATCGAGCCCCGCATCGGGCTCCCTGCTCCGCGGGAAGCCTGTTTCTCCTTCTCCACGTCCAGTCCTCAGGAGCTCCTCCTCCTGCAGTCATTTCTAGGCCACATCAGGCCGGGAGGGCACGAAGACTGAACCCACTCCTTTTTTTTTTTTTTTTTTTAAGATTTATTTATTTTTGAGAGAGAGAGAGCAGCGTGTGCGCGTGGGCAGGAGGGGCAGAGAATCTCAAGCAGACTCCGCACTGTGCGCAGAGCTCGATGCAGGGCTCGATCTCACGACCCTGAGATCACGACCTGAGCCAAAACCAAGACTCGGACGCTTGTGACTGAGCCACCCAGGTGCCCCTGAACACCCACTCACTCCTCTTAAACACCGGTCTGAATGGGCTCATCTGCCTGTGTTTTGTGGGCTGTCCATCTCATCCTTCATCAAATGAGTTATTTTCAGTAAATGGCCAGTCATAATATACCACAGTGGTCATTCCTCAAAACTTAAAACACTGCATCTCAAGACAATGAGCACCCTTCCTTTGCCCGCACCTTTTCTCTGATCTCCAGAGCTCTTTTACACAGCGGTTCGGCCTCTTTGTACTTCCCTCTTTTGCCATAAAGAACTGCGAGGTTATTCAGAGTTGCTGCCACCTGCCAACACAGAGGGAAGAGCAGAGAATGGTAAACAACAGCAACAGACAGGACTTCAGATATCACATGCTCATCAATATCCAGGTTGCACAGTGAAGTGCTCTCCACTAAGTGAAGGAACAGGACTTCAGTTAAAAGCAAAAGAGCAATTCACTATACACTACAGATTATACAAAGTAAATTGGAGAATACTAAAATTAAACAATCAACAATAACACCGTGATCTTGATTTTTTAATTTCACTGGAAGCCACAAAGCCAACCCAAACACAGATCTGTTTGCAAATCTGGCCAGATTTTAAGAAAAAGACAATATAAATTCTTTAGAGAAAAATTTACAGAAGTACATGCAATCTGATTTAGGATAAAAAAAATACAGTACGTGATCCACGTGAAGCGGCGACGATGAACAAGTTAACTGTGCGTGCTGACACAGGCTGAACATCAGAGCCACCAGCCCCGAAGCTCAGCACTGGTTCTGAGTAAGTGAAGAGTCCTACCTGCGCCATCTAGTGAAAAGGCAGCTCTTAAACCTTCCCTGTTGAGTTTAATATTAAAATGAGTTGGATAAAAAAATATATTAGGGAAAATGAAATATAAAAAGAAGGAAAGAACCAGATATACACACCGCGGGATGATCTTTGCCCAAAGTTTTCTCACGGATGGCCAAGGCATCGTTCAGTAGATTAGCGGCATCTTTGTATTTATTCTGGTCTCTAAATTGAAAAACATACATTAAGTGTTTTGGATATAACTTACTACGTCTTTTTAAAATGTAATTTTGAAACTACAGAAATAAGAGTTAAGTTTGAGCTATTTAAAAAATAAAAGTCCACTATTAAAACGATTAAAAACACCTCTAGCGTAGAAGAAAAAGACTCTACCAATAATGTGAGCTTGGAATCAGGCCCGATTAGCTTTGGAACCTGGCCCTCCCCTCCAGGTCATGGGGACGACACTGCCCCTACACCACACAGAGTACGGGAGCTGGTCCAGAAGCTCGGCCAGAGCTTCACCTGCTATCAGACAAAACGGACCCCAGAGTCTGAGCCCAGGCTCTGCCAGTTAATGGCTACAAGGCTTTGGGATATTAAGCAGCCTCCCACAGTCCCCAACGACCCATCTAGGAAGTGTATTACCTAACTCACAGAGTTGCTCCAAGAAGCTAATGATATGCTACCTGTATAATGAAAAAGCTTGTTAAAAATAAATACATTATAATGTCTTAATCTGGTACACAATTTGCCACCGTTTGCTTGAGTAAGGAGGAAGGAGGAGGCTTTTGACTGCAGTAAGACAGAAAGCCCAGCCTCAGCCGCTGCCCTCCTTGGTTTGTGTACCGACAATGTGATCACAGCAGAGTTATTTGCTCTGTGAGACTGAGCACACACGTTCCTTAACTGTGTAATAACAGCTGCCCAGCAAGGCTTTGCCCTGGAGAAGCCAGACTGCCCTACATAACATGGAAAGGGTTAATGGCCCTCTGTAACCTCTGAAGCACACTAATTCTGTCCAAATGTATTGAGATTATTTTCTTCAATTACCCTACTACACATGATAAACTGGCTCAAATGTTTTGTGAAAAGCAGCAAGTATGACAGAAAGTCTCAAGAACTACTATAGTAGAGACGGTTATAACCAGTAACAACAAGAACTACCTAAAAGCGTGTGGCAGCTAAATGAGGCAAGGTGTACTGAGCACTCTTCTAAACTGTGACGGGCCCTAAAATGTCAGAGGCTTTTAATTCATTAGCCAAAGTGAGGTCACACCAAGAGCAACAGCACTGGTTCTCAGGCATGGCCCCAAACCGATGACCGTCACCGTCGGCCGGAACACACTAAAACCAGCCCCGCCCCAGCAACTCTGGCTCTGGGGCCCGCACTCACTTGACTAGCCCACCAGGAAATTCAAACTCAAAATGAAAACAAAAGTGTACTACTGCACGCATAAAAATCCTAATAGAAAAATGGGCAAGATGATGGAAGATTCACAGGACACAAATGACAAAAAATACCCAATCAGAGAAATACGAAGGCAACCACAATGCTGTGCTTCTGCATTACTGAAGTGTAGGGTCAAGCCACACTGCGCTGGTGGGGACGGTGAGGCTGAAGCAGGGACAGGATGCCGCCTTCCTGAGGAGCAGTTTGGCAATAGGTCCCAGGCGTAGACTGTAGACTCTAACCCATTTTAGGAACTGATCCTTAAAAAAATCCAAAATCTCAGGAAAAACTTCCAAAAATGTTTATCAGTATATTATGCCCTTCCCCCAAAAGCTTAAAATTAAATGTCCCCTAACACAAGAAAGGTGAGAAGAGTCATAGGCCAGGGTGCAGTCCTGAATATGAATGCGAATATACAGGGAGCTATCCATTTGTTTTTTGACTTTTGACTGACACAGTAACCCCTCAGCCAGAGCATTAAGGGAAAACACCAGACTGCAGCGAAGCCCCGGAACTCCCACTGCCTGACACAGTGGTAAGCGTGGGACCATGGAACAACAACAACCCTACATGCATTTTTTATTTAACTCATTTATAATAATAATATCTAGTGTTGGCCAGAAATTTTCATGTTAGTGCAAACTGTTTCAAGTTTCATTTATTTTAATGATCTCTACGCCCAATGGGGGGCTTGAACTCACGACCCTGAGATCAGGAGTCGGATGCTCTACCGACTGAGCCAACCAGATGCCCCAGTGCATACAAATTAAAAAACCTTTTGGAATGAAACTGGCATCATCCGTCAAGATTTTAAATGTAAATACCCGTGACTAAGGAATCCCTACACTATCGTAACAGTAAAAATCTGCAAATAACCTAAATGTCCATCGACAGGGAAACTGTCAAAAAAGGTCAGGACTAGCCGTGAGACAGTGCGCTACGCCGACCCTGAAGACGGCAGGCTAACTGCGGGACGAGCACGGGCAGGGCTGCGGGCATGGCGTGAAAGGCCGCCTTCTTTCTGGTGGTGTTTTGTTTCGTGAAGAAATCACTCGTCTCTATGAATGGCTGGATCAGTTGGTTTCTTTTCCCTGAGCCGCTCCCTGTCCTCTCCCTCTGCACTGTCCCCCTCCTTGCTCAGACCCCATCTCCGTATCCCTAGGATCCTGCCCTGCCTCCAGGCCCGGGCCGCCATTCTGTCCTGCGCACAATGCCAAAGGGACTCTGGTGAGACCCAAGGAGGAGCCAGCTGCCCCCCACACCAGCACCTCTCAGCACTGCCCACAGGGCCTCCACGGTCAGTCCCAGCTTCTCCCTGCCCCATCTCTTGCAACTGTTCTTCAGGTGCTGTCAAGCTTTGCCAACTAGGTTCAGGAGTTAAGCCCCAAACACACACAACACCCGTTACCATCTCCACGTGCTAAAATCCTACCCATCCTTCGAGGCCCCCTAGAGTGCTGCTCCCACCCTTCCATTAATCCTTCCCTCATCCTCTCAACTGGAAGTAATCTTTCTGTTCCATGAAAACTTTTGCGTTATTTTATTAGCAGAACCCAGTCTCTCTCCTTCTATAACAACATATGAATGTAAACATCCTATCTTCTAAACAAGGTCGTAAGTTCCAATTTAGAGAATGCTATTTGAGCATTTCATGTCTGCCGGGCGACACCACATGTCACATGCCCTACAATCCTCCCTTGGACCTCGGAGTGGATAGTATAACCGTCTCCATTTCAGATTTAAGAAAACTGAGGCTCAGAAAAGCTAAGGGCTCTGGACAACATCCTCTGTCTTGTGGCCGTCTAGCAGAGACACAACCTGAACTCTCCTGACTTTAAATTCAACGTTCGGCTTTCTCCCAAGGACAGGAACCATATGTTCCTTCATCTCTAGGGCCTCACGGGAACCAGCCCAGTCTGACCTACACTTGTGTGTCCAAAAATGTTGAACGGGGACAACCAAACCAATGAGGAAACACGCATCTGGTAATCCCAACCCACAGCAAACCAATCCTGCTGTGAGTAACTTCTCCCTTCTCGGTCCCTACTCACCCACATCTGCTCTAATTCAGGTGAGTTCAGTTCAAAGACACACACAAAGGGCTCCAACACATCACTCTCTGTGCCTCAGGGCAAATTCCTTAATCCCCTTCAACGTGTTCACCCAGGGCCCCTCAATGAGGAAGCATGCTAGAGTGATGTGAGAAGTGGGGACACGGACGCAAGCTGGTCCCCAACTTTCAGGGACACTGTTCTGAGAGAAGACAGAACAAAATTCAAATAACCCCGACGCCAAGTGCAGGGAGAAGCGCCAGAAGAGAAGCAGGGATTAAGGGCTCTGGGGGCACAACAGACGCAAAGGGCAAGTGGAACCTGACACTCAGAAAGGAGAGAGAGCTGGGCGCCTGGGTGGCTCAGATCATGATCCCAGGGTCCTGGGATCGAGTCCCGCATCGGGCTCCCTGCTCTGCGGGGAGCCTGCTTCTCCCTCTCCCTCTGCCTCTGCCTCTCTCTCTATC